CAGCAACATAGGAAGAAGGGGGTATAACAGTTGCATCGAGGAAGATTAAAAAAGTGAATTGCTATTCACTGCCCCTTATTACTACGCACCGCCCACCTTGGACCGTTTTGCCTCTCATTTTTTCAAAAATTTTAGAAAATTGTAAAATCCTCTGGATCAGGCGATTTCCGGCGAAAAAATGTCTTTGAGTGAGGTACGTTTTCCGGCCGTCCGACCGAAAAACGCGGACATGCATGGTGCTGTCTGGCCGGTCGGTCCGAACATGCCCATGCACGCCCGCCTTTGGTGGCCGGACACGACCATGCGCGTCCGAAAAGGCCAGCCAGATGGACCCTGTCCTGTCCGCAATCACCGGCCGGACAACACCTTGTCCGTCCGATTGGGTCGGTTGGACAACCTTTTTTTTATTGTTTTTATTGGTTTTTTTTATTAATTTTTAGTGAAAAAATTTAGAAATTATATTATTTAATTTTTTATATGTTATATTATAATTAATTATGTTACAAATTAGAAATTAGATATATATGTTAGAAGTTTGAAAATATTATGTTATATGTTAGAATTGATTATCTTATAATTATAATTTATTAATATAATCTTAGAAGTTAAAAAAATATTATGTTATGTGTTAGAATTGATTATCTTATAATTATAATTTATTAATATAATCTTATAAATTGGAAATTATTATGTTAGAGGTAAGTTATAAATTATTATATTATAGATTAGAATTAATTATCTTATAGATTAGAATATATACATTGTCATGTTAGAAGTTAGAAATCCTTATGTTATATGTTAGAAATAATTACCTTATAGATTAGAAATTTTATATTGTCATGTGAGAAGTTAGAAATCATTATGTTATAGGTTAGAATTGATTATCTTATAATTAAAATTTATTGATATCATGTTAGAAGTTAGAAATTATTATGTTAGAGCTAGGTTATAAATTATTATGTATTAGATTATAATTTATTATCTTGTAAAATTATGAACATCGTATTATATTGCAGGTGTCATTGGAAGATTTTAGAGGAGACGATATTGATTACAGTGTTGGTTTCGTTAAGGATATGCAATTTATTACTGATTCCGAAGCTATTCAGTGGGCAAAAGATATTGCACTTATGTATGGTTACAAATTGGTTATTTCGAAACATATAAAAGGAGGAAAGGTGAAGGTTTTGAAGTGTAAGCGAGAGGAACGTTGCAGAGGAAAAATACGAGATATAGATCATGTTGTTTCTCGACGTACAAAAACTAAACCGTGTTAGTGCCATTTTGAGATAAAAGTCAACTAGACGCATAAACAAAAGTATATTGTAGTGTCTGTGTAAGTTCTAATGCTACGAAGAGAAAGCACAATCATGCAATTGCTGTGTATCCTGAGGGTCATCGACAGGTGAGCGGACTTAGCGCTTCATCTAAGAGGATCGTTCGTGATATGACTGCTGCTTAGGCAAAACAAACATAAATTTTAGCTGCGATCCAGGAAAAAAACCCGATAGACAACGCCATTCGCCAACATGTGTATAACTATAGAGAGAAATTGCAGAGAGATAGTTTCGATGGCAGAGACGTGACTTCTCAGCTTCTGCATTTGACTAGGGAAAACAATTATACAATTTATACAGTTGTCGATCGGGACACACAGGCGTTGACACGTCTGTTCATGGCATATCCTCAATCAGTCAATCTATTTCGGACATATTACTGGTACGTCGGTATAGATTCGACGTACAAAACAAGCAAGTACATTGTTTTATAAATAACAAATTAGTATGAATCATAATTAGTATGTTAGATTATGTTTTATAATTTGAGGTTTTCCTTTGTTTTTTTCATTTGCATAGTACCAGATGCCGTTGGTGGAAGTGATTGGGATGATGCCGTGTGACAAGAATTTCTTAAATTGCATATGCAATTATGAACGACGAGAGCGAGAACAGTTATTACTGAGTTCTACAGAAGTTGAGACTTCTAATAGGGTCTAAGGTACGTTCTACTTCCACTGTCACTGGCAAGGAGTTGGGTTTGATTACTCATATTCAGAGAAATTTTCCCGAAGCTGCCCATTTACTTTGCACGTGGCACATCAACAAGGGTGTGGAAGACAGAGTCTATCGACTCTTTGGAAAAAATAAGTTGTTTGCTTAGAAGTTCACGCACGATAGGTGGAAGGCAATTGTCGAAGCGAGTATGGTGGATGAATACAACAATGCCGTAGCTGAGATGTAGGTAAAATACGCGAAGGTTCAAAATTCGTTACAATATGTGGAGCATACATGGTTAGTCCACAAGGAGAAGTTTGTGAAAGCGTGGACGGATTATGTATTACATTTTGGTAACATAACTTCGTGTAGGGTAGATTGTGCACGCTGTGTTGAAGACCTGGCTTAACACATCGTCAGGTGCACTTGATACAGTGTGGGAGAAGATTAATAAAGAGATTGAGTCTCAACATACTGAAATCAGGTACATTACTTAAGTCACATATATTTACTGGATTAATTATAATTTTCAATGTGTCTAATATTATGTAATGTGTTACCAGGTCTACGTTGGAGTCTTCGAGACTTAGGAAGTGTGTGCAGTATACAGGATTCCCGTTCGCGTACTTGTCACTGCATGTATCGCATCACTTTCTGAATGTGTTGAATGCTGAGCTGAAGCGGATGAGAAATTTGAGTGATTATGTTTACTGGCGATGCAGATGTGCATTGAGATACACTCACTGACTACCTTGTGCCTGTCAGCTTCGTATGGCACATACTTCTGAAGAACTGATTGATGTACAAATGATCCAACAATTCTGTAGCACACTAGAGGTGTTAGAGTCAGGTAATTTAAAGTTCATGTTTCATTTAGAATTTTTCTACTGTTTGTTTCATTTTTAATTACACTTTATGTACATAATACATTATGTTGTTTAATTCTTTTATTTTTTATCTTATACTTGTAGGGACAGGTGACCAAAGCGATGAGAGCCAGAGTGGGTGGGCAGATCATAATTTTTTTTTAGGCAGCTTGTCTAACAGCCCGCCTAAACTTACTAAAGTCAGAGAGTAAATTTTTCGCGCTATAAAAGGAAAGCTCTGATTTAATTTTTGAAAACTCATATTAATTTTTCGAAAGTACTTTAACTTTAATATGCGGAATGCTACTCAACTTAAATCTTAAATCTTTAATCTTTAATATCATTAAATTACTAGGCATGCAACCCGAGTATAATTCATTACTCTAAACATCTCAGGATTTAAGCATGCATAGGCTAAAATTCTAGATACTGAAATACTGTAATACTGAAATACTAAATGCGGAAGCAAATGCAAGCATGCATGAACAAAACATCATAACTCAAACATTTTCAAATATACATGACATGTCTACTAAAAATATCCTTGCTATGACCACCACCACATCATCGGCTCACGCTCAACGCTCAACACCGTCACCTGAAAAATGGTTAGTGGGGGGCGTGAGCATAAATAATCCACGTGCTACGCCGAAACCGACACTGAAATATACAGCTAATATAATAACATATCATGATATCGGCAAATATGCAAGTACTTACTGGGTCAGCTAAAAACGATATGTTGATAAACATTTTACTAACAGATTAAGTATTCATCCAATAAACACTTAAATCGACAAACTATCTATAGCTGTTACTTGGCTGCTGCCTATAACCCTTGTTCAGTTGACTGTCTATAATTTCTGCTCGACTGGATAACTATAACTGATGCTCAACTGACTACTATAATGGTTGCTCGACTGGCTGACTATAATTGCTGCTCAACTGACTAACTATAATTATTGTTTGACTGTCTGACTATAATTGCTGCTCAACTGATTAACTATAACGACTGCTCAACTTATTAACTATAACTGTTGCTCAACTGACTAACTATAACTGCAACATCGTGAACTAAATATACATCTGATATGATAAGCACATCACAACCTAAGCATACATCTAATATGATAAGAAACATCACAAATGCGTATAAATAAGTATATTGTCTATAAATGCTGCTCAACTGACTATCTCTAAT